TGACTGATGTATCTAAACACCATTGTTCACCACATTAGCATAGCTACATTTCTTGTGGCATTGGCGACGTTTATGGTTTGTTTTAAAGCCTTCTGCATCAGTACATTGTGCATAACATATTATAACATGTCTGTCTTGTAGTTATTATTGTTACGTTTATCCATGTGACGCAATACATCATCATTAACTCAAGAATGTAATGGCGACCGTGAAGGAATGAATTTAATTCACATTGAGAAGGAACTTGTGTATTCGAGTAATTAGCGACTGCAAGGCAGACCTTGCTTTCGATGGCACGAATGTTACAACTTTTTATCTACTGTTAAAATAGCACTAACTGCGTTTTAAGCTCTATAACGTTACGTTTTGATTGGCTGATTTCAACAACAAAGTAAGATCAATATGATCAACATTTATGGGCGGCAGCTTAGACAAGTCTTTTGCTACAAAGTATGGTATATTATGAGGATCTGTTTCCTTGAGAAAACATAGAACATATTAATACATTTTTAAACCTTTGTCTTTTAATCATGCGCCGGGTACTAAAACGACCACACAAATCAAATACGCGACATTTTGTTTCATTAATATTGGAATAGGTATCCACACATAGCATCTGGTGTTTTCCCTATTCATGTTTGGCTATCTATATGGTTTTCAGTAAGTGATGGATTAGATGTTTGTAACTACATCCATTTCAATGGCCAGGGTTCCTAGATGATCCAAGGTTCCCAATCAATGCTGACCGTGTCATATATATCGGACATGATAATATGCTCCTACTGTTACCAAGTGATCAAAGGCTACCTTCTGTAATACCCGTTTTTACCATAAAATACAATATTAATCTGTCCGGGACATGTCAATACGTTAAGATAAGGGAAGATATTCACCAGCTACCTACCATCACACCATCAATAAAACCATCATAGTCACATAATCATTTTGGCTATTCATATCTTAAAATGTGCCACTGATTGTCATTAAACTTTATTTTGTTCCACTTTTGATTTTTCAACAAATGGTCACATTATACCACAGATGGTGATATTGTTCATTCAAATTTTATCACAATATCATATCAGATATTCAAGTTATTGTCCCGTTATCGAAGCAGGTTGTATCTTTTGTAATTTTTATTGCATTAATCTGGTTGTCCAAGACTACAATTTCCGGATCTTACACTCAAACGAACAGACATGGGCAGCCATAGTTGTCATCAAAATATCAGATAGTATTGGGAATATCCTGTAGAATCATTCCTTATACACTTGCAGCATTGTTCGCATTGTGATTATCGTCCAGTGTGTCCAATATATTGTAAAATCTGTCGTGAAGCAAATTAGAAGATCTTTGCAATGACTAGTTGGAAATATGTTCATCAGAGAATGAAGAAATGTTGAGTAACCCAGAATATATCAGTGAAAACAAAAATATGTAAGGTTTATTTCCATCGATGGGGACTGGCCATATCTTTAGCACTATGGTCTTTCTGTTATGAGAAATGTTGTACGTTTAAACTTTAAATCTGCTTTAACGTCACTAAATGGTCAATAGATATTTCAAGAAAATGATAATATTAATCAAATAATTTTCATGTTCAGATCGCCCGAAAACTAACATAAAACAAGTAACTTGTAGAATGATGTGTGGGTAATATTTTTATATTGATTTGTGTTGCATTTGCAGCAAATAGTTACCAAACAATTAGAAATCTATAAGACTTGATATCTCTCTCAGCTGGCTTCACATGCATAGTTCAAGACTGCCTAACCGGTGCTTACACCAGGTTTTACCTAGACGGTTTGTGGTTACAGCTTCATGTTCCGAGTAATCGCAAGAAATTGACATTACAATAGAAAATAAAAGACTGGCACTCCCATGCAGTTAATAGCAAGTGAAATTCCTGGGATTGAAACATAGATTTTGAAATCACTGATGTAGGCATTGAATAACTTCTGAGTTGGCATAAAGACGAGAGAGTTTATTTAATCAGTGCTGAAATTATAATTAAGTTCGTTGTCAAATAATTTGTTTATTCCAATTTTTCCTGAAGTCAAATAGAATACACTGGTGAAAGGATGTTTTGGGGTGTAGTTTACATTGTGTATGGAGTGGTAGGGTTGGATTTCATATAATTTGTTCATTTCCAACTCTCGTGAAGTCGCATAGAATTTCACTTAAATTATTTTCGATGAAAGGTTTTCAAACATTACCTGTGAATTCAATTCTCACTGTGCTGTGACAAGTCTCAATATTATGAGGGAAATTTTCACTGGAATTTATTTTAGCGAAAAAAATGTTTACATTGAAAATGTATTCCACATTATTACATATGTACTGTAGTATATTTTGATTTGTCTCTGAAATCAAAATCGGTAATACCACATCCCATATGTAAATGAGGTCTATGGCAACTGCCAAAAACAGATTTTTTTAATACCTTCATGCCAAATGTATCACACCCTACATTTCTATGATTAAAAAGCACGGACGTAGCTCATTCTCCTCGGCTTGGGTGTGGGCAACAATTTACTGTTTTTTATGTCTATTTTCATTACCGAGAAATTTGACCCCAACGTTGGTGTAACTTTTCACCAGCAACGGCTTTTAACTCTTCTGAGTTGTTTTTTGGCTTGGCTAATTTTGTTCATACCTGACAGGCAGCCGTACCGTCACTAATTGGAACAAAATCTTGGCCCACAGCTACCCTGGCAACAGCCAAAAATACTTTCGCCCTAAATTTATTACCTCCTACCAGTCTTGTACTGTTCAAATAATCATGCCTTTTACTTTGGCTACGCTGCACACCGGTAGGAGATCACCGGCGCCGACATCGTTACACTGTATCAAAGTAATCTCAACGCAACTTTGAATAAAATGTAAATGCTGTCTCCAATCTAGAAAATACTATCGCAAAACGGTTGGTGGAAATAATAAATTTAATGGCAGAATACGTCCTACTCCTAGCAATAAAATAAAAGTGACTTCTAAAGACTGAATGTTTTTTGCAAACTTCGTATACGGTGCCCGGTTTTAGTTATAAACCAACGCTAGCTTCACGTTCAAGTCCTACATTGGCAACAGCCGATAACATATTGCTTGTTTTTTTTAGCGGAGCGGATCGACAACCAGCCTACAGGCTTGTTTTCATTGGCAACTGAACTATTTTTATTTTGTAACAAAATTTTCATCTGCTAATTTTATCCAGTTCAAATCGTTCAGCAACATTTTTGGCATATTAGGTGTACATCACATGAAATACTACGATTGAGAGAACTTGATATATGTTGACTGAGTTTTATAAACCCTGAAGGGCTCTTGGAAGATCCACCCGCAGTAAAATTAGCGATTACCATTGAGGCACGACCATCAACAAGTACCAAGAGGTTTCTGCTGGCGACGTTGCGGCGTTACCCAGCTCCAAATAAAGATTACCAACGCCAAATGAGCAACATTTTAACCGGTAATCAAGATTCATTCAATCCACGGCTAGCAAGCAACATCACAAGCGAAGTTGTAGCGTGCAGTACTAGTACGTCATCCCGTCAGTGGAGTACCGTAGTAGCCTTCTCCATTGTATTCAAACGAATAACGTGGTGTGCCATTCTCCTTCAAACCCGGGATTCGATCAGTAGTGGAGTTTCAGTAAAAAAAACATCGCAAATCATGCATGTTCAACATTTTCAAACCAGTATACTAAAACAGAAATGTTCAGTGATGCGAAAGGAGGATAGATAAATGGACTAGTCTCTTTTCATGTTGACATTCATAGTAAAGTCACGTGACTGGCTGGAAAATGTGTTTAATAAGCTCTCATTCAAGCAACAATGCAGATTTCCCAGTGGGAGTGAAACTAGTTCGACTCTGCCATTACAAAATAGGGGTGTTTTCAGCAAAAAACGAATAACCCTGGACTGCACACAACACACTGAATTTCGGAACAAATCTTGCATTATTTACAGCAGCAGAATACCTCAAAAATATCAGAAGAAACATGAAAACACTATTGTATTTCGGCCTGAACCTTCTCTATTGAAATTCCAGAAATTACCCCCATATGTGCATTCATTCTCTACCTTGGTATCACCCAACCCTGAAAACAAACTCTTAATACCACGCTGAAGCATTTGGTAATGACTTCGTCACGTTTTGACCAACCTGTTACATGGCAGCCAGCAGAGAATTCACAATCAATAACCACATTGTGAAATACAGTATGTGTCAGCGCAACTATTTGTATCAGAATAGAAATAGTCTGTTCCAGTTTGTCTGCGGGTATATTTTCCACCAATATTTCTTTCATCAATAATGATCTTTTTATGATATATCCACTTGAACTTGAAATCAAAGAAACTACAAAATCAAGTTCTTCTGCCTCATATTTTGATGTTCTCAATGAATTTGTCTCTAAGTGTAACTATGTGACAAAAAATATGATTTTAGCATCATCAATTTTCGCCATCTTTGTCACTCTTTCTCCTGCATATTGTGTGCATACATTTTCTAACTTGTTCGATATACTAGAACTTCACTGAAGGTTTTAGAAACATCATCATCGATTTGTGTCTTCCAATCTGCAACCAAGGTTTTTTTGAGTCAACGTCCCAACATTCAAGCATTTCTATGACATATAACTGGGGATAAAACACGACACATCAATTAGGCAGATGATCTCTGAACATCATGCTTCGAGACTGGTCATTTCCTTGAATATTGTTAAATGTTCCTTTCTGTGGTTTATAATTACTCAACTGGTCATCAAAATGTTGCCTTTCAACCAATATACTGAAATCAATCATTTAGTGATTACACGATTCACTCAGTTGGCATACTGTGTCGCTCATCTGCATTGTAGGGGACTTCGGGTAGTCGGCCACGTGACGCACAACAGTACATTTAACTATTTCAATGTTTTTTGTTTTTTCGTCATTCATTTCAATAATATCTATTTTCATTTATTATATAAATAAAAGTTGACAAATTGAAGTACAACTTACGCATTTTAACAGTCTGTTCTCCTTTGTCAACATAGTCGGATATAGGTTTTCCATTCCGTATTCTAGCGTTCTTAGAAGTGATGGCTTCTTTTGAGATCCATTTTACTTTGTATGTATTACATGTCTCAAATCCTTTGTCGTAAATATGTATTGATTTTACCGCGCCCATGTTCAAGATATAGTTGTCAGTAACATAGACACTTTTATCGTTCTCAATTATAATGGTGATATTCAGGTCTCTATTGGAACTTGGAATGAAAAAGAACATTCTTGGGCTTTGTGTATATACAGCTATACGTTTACAATCGATCCAGCCAACAGCAACCTTTAGTGCACGTTTTTCTGAAATAAAACAAATAACTTAATTTTAAAGTTGGCTGTGTGTTTAGATTGTGTGTACCCGATTCACCACTGCCACATCTGAGGTCATTAGTCATAACCAAATTTATACTTATATATTGAACATGTAATACAATATACATGCACTCAAAATTACAATGCAGCTAATCTATAAAAGCAGAATACGTATTACATCTCATAAGGCTGTGCACAACACAATAAAATTACAACAATGTATTATGATAACAAATAGTCGTGTGATCGAACGTGTCCAGATACAATTATCGATGCTGCAGTTCAAAATATTTTATTGTGGACGAACTTCACACAGCAAAATACGTCATGAAACCCATCCATCTATCAATATTATTTATTTATTTATTTAATTATTTATTTACGAACATTTAGACAGTTTTGGTAAAGCTCGGTATTCGAAGATTTGCCGATTGGCTTTACTATGAATATAATTGTGTTTTTCCCGATGAGCCTAATTAAATTTGCATTTAATATGTAGAGAATGTTTATACATTACCCTTTTCTGTGCTCTCAGCAGTTAATGGTTTAAGCTGCAAACGAACAGAAGATACGTTATAGTATAATTGCAGTTTATAACATTATAATTTGATCGAATCCCATACTCAGAGGTAAGATTTATATCCGTTATATAACATTTACATATGCCCGATAGTCGATAGTTTCTAGGGGTTGCGGCTAAAGAGATTTTGACTGATTAATGAGCCGATTAATGCATTACCATAGCCGAAACCTGATGGCACAGTTGCGATGCTCCAATTTGTGAACTCATGTCGCCGGTTATCATGCCGGGTGACAAAGACCGCTGCTTGCTGTATTGTTCTATCGTTCGCCACGACTTAACACAATATGCAGGTACCGTACATTCACACACTCGTACTATTTAGTTTTTGGTTTTCAGTTATTTTACTGTGCTTATCATTCCTGACCAGTTTAACAAATATATATATATGAGGTGTAATCA